CTACGTCCAGACGGTGGCCAAGGACGGCAAGGGCCAAGGCCTGGGCCCTCCGTCGGTGACGGTAGGCACGCACCTCAACAGGACCGAGCTGGGAAACGTGATCACGAAGCTGGAGAGCATCGAAGACGTGCGGGAAGTCCACCAATTCTTCCTCGTGGTCTGGCGGGTGGTCCGGCTCGAAAAATGCTTCGTCGACGACAACGTCAAGCTCGTCCTCGGCATCGGGGACCCGCACGTCAAACTGACGATTCGCCAGACCCTCTTCCAGGTGGGCGTGCAGGGCACTGTGGGCCAGGCTCCTGCGGGGCACCGCGAGGTGGAGCTGTAGGCCTACATCGAGATGCTGGAGATCTGAGGCGGCCTGCAGTACGGTTCGTGCATTGAGCGACTGACGGCGCCCCTTCGGCGAGATCGGCAATCGCGCCCGAGCCCACGAGGGAAGGTTCGTGAGGGCTGAGCGCATTGGAAGCATGAGGGGAGTTTGTTACGTTTCCCCTCGCTGTTTCCCTTTCCTCCTCCTCCTCCTCCTCCTCCTCCTCCCTCCTGCCTGGTCTTTGCCGGCTGTCTTTAGGGCGGGGTTTTGGAGCTCAACTGACTCACTCGGTTTTTGCATCATCGTCATCATCATCGTCATCATCGTCGTCGTGATCCTCATCATCGTCCGCGTCATCGCCATCATCATCACCATCTCCTCATCATCGTCGTCATCATAATATCCATCAACCGCTCCTCGTCATCGTCATCATCATGTGGTGATGATGATTGAATGATGACGTTGACGATGAAGATGATGATGACGACGATGATGATGAAGCCGATGATTGCGATGATGATGGCGATGATGATGATGATGATGATGCTGACGATGATGAGGATGACGATAACCTGTTTTCGGGCTGCGCGGGCCGCGCGGAGTATTGTCGCAGTCTAACCGGATTCGGATACTGTTGCAGTCTAATCGGAATCGGAAATCACCTCAGCCTCCGTGGAAGCGGGCCACCGCATTTCGTCAATCACCTCCGTGAGGTAGGGCAGCGCCACGGGGGCCCGTGCCAGGTGATCCCGGCCGCGACGTGGTTCACGACGGTGAAGAACTCCTTCGGGCCAGGCGTGGCGTCGATCCTGCGCGCCCTGTACTCCCGAAAGACGTCGGAGCGGATCGTCACGGCGATCTGCAGCCTGCGGTCTTCTACGCGCTGTTGCAGCTCGTGGTGGGTCGCGAAACAGTCCTGGCAGGCCGCGGAGGCGCGGTGGTGCGCGTTGTGCTCGAGGGAGGACAGGGTGCCCATGTAGAAGGACCCAGGCTTTTGCTCGAGGGTGACGAACCTTCCGCAGGAGGCTGTGCTCGAGGGTGACGCACCATGTGCTCCCAGGACCCCTGGGATCCTCACTTGCACGGAGCGCGCCCCGAAAAGCGCCACGGCCGCGTGCAACAGGGAGCATCCGCCATCCGTGTGCCAACCATCGTCCCGTGCGCCTGGTTGCATGAGCTGGATCGATGCGTGCGCGAACGCGTTGTCGGCGAAGTGATCTGGCATGATGGGCTGTCCGTTCTGCTCGGCGATGGCATCTGGCATGCCGTCGGCTATGACTGCCTCGCGGAGTTTGTCTCCCAGCTGTTGCAGCCACGGGCGCATCTTCTTCCGCGCCGCTCGCGCGAAGGCGGCGAGGTGGGCCGCGGGGGTGACCTTCAATTTCGTGTCCTTGTTGAGGCTGCGGCACTTCGGGAGGCTTTCGTCGTCCGCGATGCCTGGGACTTCTGTTTTGAAGCCCTTTGCCGCCTCGTCGCCTCGGACGCATTTGGAGGCGGTTGCCCCCGTGCCCAGGCGCCCCTTGGCCAAGTTGTGCAACAGTTGTGCCAGCGCGGGTCTCTCTGCAAGAAGCGGAGCAAGTCTGGGTCCAGCTCCGCCTCCGCCATCGCGCCCGTGCCGTTTTTTCCCAAGCGCCATGGAGATGCGCACGTCGAGCTGGGCGCCAGCCAGCTGCAGGAAGCGACGCGCCCTTAGACGGCTGATTGTCGCTCTGGCGCCAGGGTGCCAAAGCAGGCAGCTCTCGGCGGCCTTCAACAAGTCTGGGGGGCAGCCTGCAAGTTCGGCAGCGGGCCAGCGCCCTCGGCCGTCGAGTGGCTTCGCTGTTTCAGCCTTTAGCCAATCCTCGCCCGACCGCTTGAACCACTTCTTAAAGAAACGCGGGTTGTCCAGCCACGGGGCGGGATCCTCGCAACCGTAGTCTCCGGACCCTGGCTCCTCGCCTGGGGCCCCCAAGACCTCCCTGAAGGTGTCCACAAAGTCTTTCGGGCGCGCCCATGGCTGCCCGATCGCGCCAGAAGGCTCTGGTTGGAACAACGCCTGGCGCGTGTGCAACTCCGCGATCAGGCGCCCGATGGACCAGATGTCCAGGTCCTCTGAGTAGCGCTGGTTCCCCAAGAAAACGTCTATCGCTATGTAAGCGGGCGCGCGTACTCCGAGGTCATCGCAGGTCGGGCTGTAGCGCAGTTTCTTCTTCAACCTGTCGTGGGAATCCGCCATCTCCACTCAGCCGAGGTCGCCGATCACCACCTGCGGAGAGGGGCGGATGGAGGAGAGGAGAGCGACGGCGACTGAGCTCCCCCTGGAGGGAAGGGCGGGATAGAGGGCACGACGACGGCATCTCGGGGGAAGAGTGGATACTCCCTTGTTAGAACTCGGTGTGAGACCTAACATGAAGGCTAGTGAGGTGCAACATGATAGGCTGAGCTCTGACCTCGTATATTAGGGCCCCGTCGGAGCTCTAACATGCTACGTTAGAGCTCCATGGGGGCTCTAACGCGCTATGTTAGAGCTCCATCGGAGCTCTCACATGCTATGTTAGAGCTCCCTGGGGGATCTAACATGCTAGGTTAGAGCTCCACGGGAGCTCTAACATGGCATGTTATGCCATGTTAGAGCTCCCTGGGAGCTCTAACATGCTATGTTAGAGCTCCATGGGAGCTCTCACATAGCAGGTTCGAGCTCCCTGGGGGCTCGAACATGGCAGGTTACAGCTCCCAAGTAGCTCGAGCATGACTCGAGCATGGCATGTTAGAGCTCCCAGGGAGCTCTAACATAGCATGTTAGCGCTCCCTGGGGGTTCTAACATGGTATCACGTGTCATGTTAGAGCTCCCTGGGAGCTTTAACATGGTATGTTAGAGCTCCCTGTGAGCCCGAATCGTCATCATCATCATCATCGTCGTCGTCGTCAGCATCATCATCATCATCGTCATCGTCACCATCATCGTCGTCGTCATCATCATCATCAGCATCGTCGTCATTATCGTCATCGTCATCATCATCATCATCATCGTCATCACCACCGTCATCATCGTAATCAGCATCCCCCAATGGCCCACGGCCCTCCGCCTGCTCACCCTTTGCTCCCCCCCCCCCCCCCCCCCTCCCCCTTACCCCCTTGCCCCCCCCCCCCCCCGGGCCTGGGCGGGGCGCCCCGCGGGTAGTTAGAGAGCCCAAGATGGCCCAAGACGGCTCCAAGAGCGCCTCGGAGAGCCCCAGATGACCTCCGAGATGCTTCATGATAGCCTAAAGATGCCTCAAGATGGCCCGAAGATTCTCCAAGGGGCCCCAAGAACGTTCCAAGACGGCTCCAAGAGGCCTCGGAGACCTCCAAGGAGGCCCCCAAGATGCCAACATCTTTTAACAACTTACAGAAAATACGTGATGTGCGCCTCCTCGCCTTTTCGCTTCCGATGACCATCCGAGGCCCCAAGATGGCTCCAAGATGGCCCATGAGGGCCCCAAGAAGGGGGCCAAGAGAACCCCAATACGGCCCCGAGAGCGCCCAAGAGCGCTCCAAGAGCACCCCAAGAGGGGTCCAGGAGGCTATTTTGTGGGTTCCCGAGGGGCAGGGCGATGTGAGGGATCCCCCATTCGTTGATCGATTTCCCTCACATGGTAGAGCTCCCATGGGGGCTCTAACATGGCATGTTAGAGCTCCCAGGGAGTTCTAACGTGGCATGTTAGAGCTTCAGGGAGCTCGAACAAGCTATGTTAGATCTCCCTGGGAGCTCTAACATAGGATGTTAGAGCTCCAGTGGAGCTCTAACATGCTATGTTAGAGCTCCCGTGGAACTCTACCATGGCATGTTAGATCTCCCAGGGAGCTCTAACATGCTATGTTAGAGCTCCCAGGGAGCTGTAACATACGATGTTAGAGCTCCCTGGGAGCTCTAACATACTCTAACATGCTATGTGAAAGCTCCGTGGGAGCTCTAACATAACATGTTAGAGCTCCCTGGAACTGTAACATACCATGTTAGAGCTCCCTGGGAGCTCTAACCTGCCCGCCGCCGCCGCCGTCGCCCCGTAACCGCTTTACAATCGATTGCGCAACGGTTAAGACCGCCCTCTCGCCAGGCGTGTCTTAACCGTTGCGCAATCGATTTTGAAACGGTTAGGCGCTCCGCCGCCGCCGCCGCCGCCGCCCCTTCACCGTTTCGCAATCGATTGCGCAACGGTTAAGACCCCCTCTCGCCCGGGGGGGCCTTATCCGTTGCGCAATCTTTTGTGAAACGGTTAAGCGCCGCCGCCGGCCGCCGCCGCCCCTTAACCGTTTTACAATCGATTGCGCGACGGTTAAGGCCCCCCCCCTTTCGCCAGGGGGGGCCTTAACCGTTGCGCAATCGAGTGTGAAACGGTTGAGCGCCGCGCAGTCGCCGCCGCCGCCGCCGCCGCCGCCGCCGCTTAACCGTTTCACAATCGATTGCGCAACGGTTAAGACCCCCCTCTCGCCAGGGGGGCCTTAACCGTTGCGCATCGATTGTCAAACGGCCAAGCGCTCCGCCGCCGCCGCCGCTGCCGCCGCCGCCCCTTAACCGCTTCACAATCGATTGCGCAGCGGTTAAGACCCCCCTCTCGCCAGGGGGGGTCTTAACCGTTGCGCAATCGATTGTGAAGCGGTCAAGCGCCGCCGCCGCCGCCGCCGCCGGCCGCCGCCGCCGCCGCCGCCGCCGCCGTTCCACAATGGGGGGGCCTTAACCATTGCGCAATCGATTGCGAAACGGTTAAGGCCCCCCCTGGCGAGAGGAGGGGGTCTTAACCGTTGCGCGATCGATCGAATCCTGGTTAAGACCCCCCTCTCGCAATAGGGGGTCTCAACCGTTCCGCGCTCGAGCGCGGAGCGGTTGAGACCCCCTATTGCGGCGGCGGCGGGGCGGCGGCGGCGGGCGGCGCGGAGCGCTCGACCGTCTTACAATCGATCGCGCAACGGTTAAGACCCCCCCCTGGCGAGAGGGGGGAGCCTTAACCGTTGCGCAATCGACTGTG